AAAAAAAAAAAAAAAAAAAAAATTATAAGTAGACTTATCATTTGATCCTGCAATCTCACTAGATATTTATCCAACAGAAAAAAGACATTTTACCTAAATAAAAACATTTGCATTCAAATGTTGATAGCAGCACAATTCTCAATCACAAAGATGTAGGAACAACCAAAGTGCCCCTCAATACATGAATGCATTAATAAATTGTGATATATATGCACCGTGGAATATTATTCAGCCATAAAAAGATAGAAATTTTGTATCTTTTATAACAACCCAGTCAGGCGTCCTCAAACTACGCCCATGGGCCACATGCAGTCTGCCTAGGACATTTATCTGGCCTGCCGGGTGGTGTTGCCACCACTGCCTGTCCTGCTTAGCAGCCGGCTCATCCTGGGGCCCGCAGTCCGGCCCTCCAATGGTCTGAGAGACCGTGAACTGGCCCCCTGTTTAAAAAGTTTGAGGACCCTAGTTGGAAGTGGAGACCATTCTCCTAAGCAAAGTATCACAAGAATGGAAAAACAAACACCAAATGCACTCAGTAGTAAATTGGAACTAGGAGATTAACAGCTCCACGCTCACATGAGAGAAAAACTCAATGAAATTCCAGTAGAAGGGAGGGCGGAGGGGGTGGGTAAGTTCCCACCTGACAGGTGCACCGCACGGCATACTGCATTCTTCCCAGGGAAAGGACGTTCCTGCAACTTGGACTTTAGTCCTACAAAGGCAAACTATGTAACTGAATCATATGCATCCCCATATTACTCTGAAATTTAAAAAATAAAAAAACATACTATGGGCGGGGCCTGTGGCTCAAAGGAGTAGGGTGCCAGCCCCATATGCCAGAGGTGGCAGGTTCAAACCCAACCCTGACCAAAAACTGCAAAAAAAAAAAAAAAAAGCATACTAGCAATCAGGTAAAGCCTATATATCTCTTCCCAAATTCATAATTACAAATAAAACCAATTATATTTCAATTAACATATCCAGTTATCAAACAAACAGAGGCTATGTGAATATGTATACTTTTTAACGCCATAAATAACAACATCCAGTGTCAGGTCTAATTACCATAAATTGAAAGTAGTTGTAGGAAGCAGCCTACTGCATGACAAGAGCCACCCTGAAGGGAAACTTTCAGGCCAGTGTGTGACTCCTGCATACCCAGGGGATCTGCAGCAAGGTCCTTAAACAATGCCTGTCCCTGGATAACCCCTCATAAAGATGATTATCTAACCTCCCTGTGGTCACAAGGATCAGCAAGACAGTACTGAGAGATGACCAGCTGCACATGTCTGTACTCTGAAAGTTTGCTTAGATAAAGGATACTTTTGGGGGGTAGGTGCAAAGATCCACCATCTTGAGACCACTTGAGACATGGCTTCTGTTCTTAAGTCCCTATTAAATATGTCTGAGAAACTAGAAAATAATGGAGCGACAGAAGGTGCAGAGAACAGTTATGAAGAAATAGCACTGGACGCAGAAAGAGATTTGAAGGCCTGAGGTGAGGAAGTGGCCCTGGAGACAGCCGACAGGAGGCAAAGCCATGAGCGGCACAGCAAGAGGGTGGGCCACAGGGCTCAGCAGTGGGTTGAGGGATCGACTGAGCCTGACAGCAGTCACAGGGAAAGGGGACACACTGAGCTGACATGCCCAGGTGACAGGGGAAAGAATCAGTCCTGGCATCTGACACTCAGAAATGCAGAACCTGGTAAAACCTGGTTCTGAAGGGCCCGTGTCGGGTAAGTATACAGGGAAGGCGTCGGAAGCAGGTTTGGGGTCGTCCTCAGAGAACCATACCTCAGTTTCCTCATTCGTAAATTAAAGATGTTGCATTAAATGCTCACTGATTTCACCCAGAATCAAAAACAGAATTACAAGCAATGACTATCCACTGAGTTTTGGGCCAGATGTGGTGGCTCACACTTATAATCCCAGCACTTTGGGAAGCCAGGGTAGGAGGATCAATTGAGGGCAGAAGTTTGAGGCCAGCATGATCAAGAGCAAGACAGGTCCTACAAAAGGTAGGAAAATTAGCCCAGCATGCACCTGTAGTCCCAGCTACTTGGGAGGCTGAGGCAGGAGGATTGCTTGAACCCAGGAGTTTGAGGTTTCAGTCACCTAGGATTATACCACTGCACTTCAAAAAAAGTTATTTTATTGGTAATCAATTGTGAAGAAACATAATGAACTTAGTTAATGCTTTATACAATAATATGGAATGTTCTCCTCTTTGAAAATTTACTGAGAACTAAGATTTTGTTACTTTTGTTTCTATAGGCTTTTAAAAATCTATTATTCAGTCCCCACTTTAAAACTTCATTTTCTACCGTTTATGTTTTGCTTGATTTTTATGTTGTTTGTGAGACTCAAAATTAAAATTTAGAAAGGAAATATTTATTGCATGCCTACTATACTTTGCATACTGTAGGTGTGTATATATTTTTTTCTCCTAAACATATAGTCTTGTGAGCAACAGTCAAATTTAACTGCATTTTACCAATGAGGAAATGAGGCTTAGATAGGTTAGACCAAACTTAAAAGCTGATTAGAGGCTCGGCACCTATAGCTCAACCGGCTAAGGCGCCAGCCACGTACACCTAAGGTGGCGGGTTCGAATCCCCAGCCCGGACCCGCCAAACAACAATGACGGCTGCAACCAAAAAAAAAATAGCCGGGCGTTGTGGCGGGCGCCTGTGGTCCCAGCTACTTGGGAGGCGGAGGCAGGAGACTCGCTTGAGCCCAGGAGTTGGAGGTTGCTGTGAGCTGTAATGCCACGGCACTCTACCCAGGGGGACAGCTTGAGGCTCTGTCTCAAAAAAAAAAAAAAAAAAAAAAAAAAAAAAAAGCTGATTAGAGTCGTTGGCAAAGGGAAGTAAAATCAGCTTTATCTTTCATTTACTTCTTATTCATTGCTATGTTTATTACAATATTGACTAATAAGAGATGAAGGTAATTAATGTCCTTTTTCCCAGAACAGAAGGGTTTGAGAGCACTGTTCAAAGATTTATGCTCCCGCCAGGCATGGTGGTTCATACCTATAATTTTAGGGTTGTGGGTGTCCGAGGCAGGTGCATTGTCTGAGCTCACAAGTTCGAGATCAGCCTGAGCTAGAGCGAGACCCTCTCTCTTCTAAAAATAGAAGGGAAAAAAATAGCCAGGCATTGTGGTGGGCACCTGTAGTCGCAGCTACTTGGGAGCCTGAGGCAAGAGGATCACTTAAGCCCAGCAGTTTGAGGTTGCTGTGCTCTATGATGCCACAACACTCTACTGAGGGTGACAGAATGAGACGTGAAGAACAAACCAAAAAAATATTTATGCTTCTACTCAAAACAGAAGATCTAGTTGCTAAGTATCAACTTATTTAGCTTGCTGCTAAATACCATGGGGGAAAAGTGCCTGATATACAGATTGATGTAAAACAGATGTGAATTCAAATCTGCATCCTGCCATATTCATTTGTAGCAGTACTTAACAAATCTGAATGACAATTTTCTCAGCTATAAAATGCAGAAAAATAAAAGGTCACATACAAGGTTATTACGAGAGCAAAGAAGAAAACATGCATGAGAGCATCTTCCCATGCCTACCAGGGTATTTATTAACTATCAGTTTCTTTTTTCCTTCTAAAAACTTTCAGCTTCTGAAATTGTTTACTGGTATATGAACTTCATGCAAAGAAGATTTATTGTTTCCAAGTACATTAATAATCAACGTTATTGAACTTGAATTAGTGATGCATTCAAATGCATCAGCATTGGTGGTAAGATATTTAAGTCATCAAGTTATATTTTTTCCAAATCTCACAGAGTGGGTAACTAAAAGGCATTGCCTCGTGAAGGTTAATTCTTAGTCTACACGGTAGGAGCCCATTAAAATGTACAGGTGACATACATTCCAAATGCTAAACATCCAGCACATTCGGGGAACTAGAAACCATCCCTGCAGCTGACTCTCACTGATGTCAACTCCCAGGTCCCTCATTACCTCTGATTCATTCATTCATCATATAGTAAAGCTCAACTAAATGGCACCCACACAAAATGAAGATCTAAGTGAATACGCAGCTCTTCCCCTGGGCAGGAGGCAAACAGAATGTTCCTAAGTAAGCAGAGAACCTTAACAGACCACTGTTCTTAGCTCTTTCTCTTCTCCAATGCTGGTCCCTCTAGTCTTTCCTCAAATGCTCTTTTTCCTCCCATCAAAACATGTGCTCCAAAATGTATGTGATTAATTTGTCCTCATTAAAATGTAGATGAATGATAAAGCTTAACGTCTCCCAGGGCACTTATCTGCACCGTAATGGGGAGGAAGGTCAGCGGGAATGAGAGTCAGTGATGAACACGGAGCACCCACAAAGCAACAGGAAAGAAGGATCACAGTCACGGGAGCCTTCGTGTTGCTCCCAAGTCAAACTGACAGACCAGCACTGGCACCGCCAGCAGACACGCCTAAAGCTCCTTTACGCAGCCCCCAAATACTTATTTCATAAAGTGGGTATTCTGACAGCACATCCTGATTAGAGTTAATGAGGCCCTTGTCCTGTTATGCCACCGGCATGATGACTGCTTCCAAGCCACTACCACTGACGTCCTGCAAGGCTGCTGTTAAAGACCCCGTGTGGGGGAAAACAGGCTTGTGCTTAGCAAGGACCATTGGTGAGGTGGAGACCTGCCCCTGCTATTACGTAGGGACAAATCCCACCACTCAGGACAGTTTGCTAACAAAGCAAAAGATGAGCACAGCAAAGTAAATTTTGGGCTCAGGATGGAAAATCCTTCTGTGGCTAAACACGTCTCTGGTTGTGTTTGTAATGTTTCCGACTAGAATCTCCACCAAAAGATTGGAAGAGTTTTTAAACCTAGAGTATCAGTTGTTCCTCCCAGGCAGCATCAGGGAAGAGGAGCTTCCCAGCTTACCTTACCTGAGATCCATATCTCCACCAACCCAGTAGGTGAAAATGTTGGAGATGGTTCCCCCTGGGCAACATCCCATGATGAGAACAGCAACGGCTTGCACTGGCTTCAAAGCAAAGCTGGTGGCCAAGAGATAAGCTATAAAAGGCATGAGCCCAAACTGGCAGAGCAGTCCCACGGCGATGCCCCAAGGTCTCCTGATGTGCGACCACAGCTTCTGGATCTCCACGGAGCATCCCAAAGAGAACATGAGCAGCCCCACCATCACAGCTGACAGCACCGTGAAAACAAGTTCAAGGCTCCCCTGTGCCCACAGCAACGCGGGCAGCTCCTCCTCCGAGCTGTTGGCAGAGCAAGCTGAGCTGCTGGAACAATTGGCTCTCATCTCCTCATCTCCTTAAGGCAGCGCTACAAATGAACATCAGCTGGGACGGCTGGGCAGGTCTATCCGGCCACATTTTGTAATAATGCAACAAAGTCACATGTGAAGAAACATTCCAACAGCTATTGGCCAGCCAGGTGATTCACCTAAATCTGATCGATTTATTCACAAGCAGCATCATAAAAGTAATCATCCTGCACACAAAACACAACAAACCGTGGTAAGTCAGGCTTTCTACTTCTGTTCTTACTCACCACTGAATATTTACGTGAAACGAGACACACAAACACATTGTCAAGAGGAGTGTCCGGGCTATGTCGTCAGTATCACATTGTGTTCCAGGAAACTGGGTTGGATTTGCCAAGACATAATTTCTCCAAATTCAGTAGGGATTTCAAAGAAGCAGGATGCAATGTTATGCAGAGAGAAAGGCTAACTCTGGGGTAAAAAAAAAAAAAAAACAGGCACAAAGCCAAAACCGCGCCTTGTAGCCTCAGCAAGCATTTCTGTTGGAAATATTAAAGCAAAAGGAGACCAGTTAAGGAAAAGCCAAGAAGGACCAAGAACCATTTCAAGAGAGAGTCGGAATGAGTCTCAGTTTTTCTTCTTTCTACTCCTGTTAGAATGTGTGCCTAAATCCAGTAAGTGGCCAGGTACAGAGGCTCGGGCCTGTAATCCTTGTGCTCTGAGAGGCTGAGGCAGGAGGATCCCTTGAGCTCAGGAGTTGTAGACCAGCCCTGCAAAAGGCAGACCCCATCTCTACCAAAAAGAGAAGAAAAAGGGCGGTGTCCACAGCTCAGTGGGTAGGACGCCAATCACATACACCAAGCCTGGCGGGTTCAAACCCGGCCCAGGGCCTGCTAAACAACAACAACTACAACAAAAAAATAGCTGGGCATTGTGGTGGGGGCACCTGTAGTCCCAGCTACTCAGGAGGCTGAGCAAGAGAATTGCTTGAGCCCAAGAGTTGGAGGTAGCTATGAGCTGTGACACCATGGCACTCTAGCCAGGGCAACAGCTTGAGACTCTGTCTCCAAAAAAAAAAAAAAAAATAGAAGAAAAAAACTAGCCAGGCATCATGACGAGTACCTGTAGTCCCAGCTACTGCGAAGCTGAGGCAAGAGAATCACTTGAGCCCAAGAGTTTGAGGTTGCTGTGAGCCGTGATGATGCCATGATACTCTACCCAGAGCAACAGAGTGAGACCCTGTCTCAAAATAAAAAAATCCATAAGAATAATATGATATTAAGTACCTAATTATGTCTGATAAAACATATAGACTCATTTCTTCACCCATATAAATTCAAGAAGGCTGCTCCTTTCTTTTAGAGGTTAGATTCTGCTTTGAGACCCCCAGCCCTGGGCCTCTGGGGGAATCTTGGGAATTCTGCAAGGAAAGGCAGTAAAGAGCTAGATCTGGAACCTGGCCAGGGTCTGAAGGCAGCCTCTGACCGCTGAGCCCCAGGGGCCCCTCGTGCATCCGGACCAAGCACCGTAGGTGAAACCAGGCAAAGACAATATGGTTCCGTGAACCTGAGCCTTCAAAAAAGCAGGTGCCACACCCTATCTCAAAGACAGTAGAAAGCTTATTTGTGGGGCACAGGCTGGTAACAAGGCACACTTCATAAATGCCTCTAGCTGTCTGGAGAGATACTAGCTAGCCTTTGTTTATCCTCGGATTAGCAAATTCTTTTCCATGACAGAAGGCTCAGGGCACTTTGGCTGTATAAAAAATACAAGTTGAATACAAATGTCAAGTAAATTCTAGCTACTTAGGAAAGGATAAGCTGCTGGAGACAAACACAGCCTGGAAGCGACTCTGACGGGAGAACCTCCGAGGAGGCGATGAATGGGCAGCATGAGCACAGGTACAAGGAGCAAGCAGAGAACGGTCACTGAGGGGCAGGAAGGGTCTCTGGAAAGCTAGACGCTGCCAGTTCAGATTATGAAGAAGGGTGGTCAGGCTGAGAGGAAGGAAGAAAGGAGGGAACTGACATTTTCTCAGCACTTGGGGGTGACAGAGATGGGCTAGGTGCTTTATACACATGTGGCTGTGTCTGGTAAATAGAACTTCATCTTTAGAGACATGGTCTCACTGTCACCCAAACTGTAGTGCAATGATGGCACAGTCATAGCTCACTAGAACCTTGAACTCCTGGACTCGGGCAATCCTCCCACCTTCACCTCCTGAGTTACTGAGATTTCATGCACACACCACCAGCCCTGTCTTATATTTTTCTTTCTTTTGTAGAGACAGGGTCTCACTATGTTGCTCAGGCTGGTCTTGAACTCCTGGCTTAAACAATCCTCCCTCCTCCATCCCTCAAGTGCTGAGATTACAGGCATAAACCACCAAACCCAGCGTAGTTTTTTTAAATTTATTTATTTAGCAAGAGAAGCTATCAGATACTTCTGTCTGGATAATGCCAAAGCTCTCCATAGCAGACCCTCTTTGCTTCTAGGAAGAGTTGCCTGAATGGCCCTTTTTAGTTATATAAATTTAAGTTGATAGAAACTTTTGTGATTTGCTGAACACTCGGTGGTCATAGCTGAGACAGAATTATACAAAGTACATGTGCAAACTGGCCTTAGGGAGCCCCCTTGGGGAAGGTAGAAAGGTGACCTTGGCCATTTCCCTTTTGAAATTTAACATTATCAGAATTTCCCAAATTAATGAGATGCTCTCAGTGGAAGTCCCCCGGCAGGAAAAGTGGCCGCCATGAAAGAAAGGGCCATCCTGATGGGCAACTGGTTCCTCTGTGTCCAGCCACTCTGTCACAAGATGATGCAGGACACAATGACTGAGCATGTGGACGTGACCTGAAGAGGAGTCATCTTGAGAGCCCAAGCTTGGGTACCACCCCACCACACTGTGTGCAAGGACTGGGCCAGAGAGGCTGGCGGGGGCGGGCGCAGTGTGTCAGGAAATCCCAAGAGAAGCAACAGCAGCTGAAACGGGAGAGGACACCCGGGAAGGGTGAGGTCCAGGAGAACAGAGGTCTTCTCGAGGAGATCCCAAGGATACACCTGCAGGATCCTCTCCATGGTGACACAGCTCTTAGGAATTTGTAGACTTAACCTCCTAGGACCTGGAAATTTCTGCTTCTGTGAAATCCTGTAGTTCTGTGGGGGCTGGAACAGCTTCTCCCCCTTGATTCAAACTGACCGATGAGAAAGGTACCCGTGGGTTGGAACTTTCTGACTGGAGATAAAAAGGGAAAGATGGAGCCAGTCGGGGAGCATGGCCATTTTGACTTCCTCTATGCCATTTGCTCCACCAGCTGAAATAAAGCCCTTCCCCTTAGAAACGTGGAGTTCGGGTGCTCTTTCTCTCCACTGGGCCTCATCTTCCTGCAACAAAACCAGGCCCTGCCAGAGGACTGGCCAGTCTTTTCTAAACTGCTCCCTCTCTGGGGTTGCGAAGGGGGCTGTCTTGGAAAGAGTAATACCTGAGGGTTCTCAATCAATTTGTAAAAAAGGTTTCAAATACAATATCCTAGACTTATAGCCCTTACTGGCAGGTTGGGGCCCAAAAGACTAATTAGAACATTGTAAAAGGCCTGACCAACTTACAGGTCATGAGATTTCATTCAATCTTCAAACCCATTCTAGGAGGTGAGTACCAACATTTCTTACCTCAGACATAAGAAAACAAAGGCCCAGTGGGGCTATGTGTTTTGTCCAAGATTATTAAGCAGGTACATTGTAACATGGGGATTAAAATCCCAGTCTAATTGTCAGCCTGTCCTCCCTTCCCTGGAGCACACCACAGTGGCAGCAACGGCAGGCAGGTGACAGCATGACCATGCTACAAGTACTGACACCCACTTAGGGCCAGCTCAGGGAGGAGACAACACCAAGATTTGCCCTAAAGGTGGAGAAGTGAACAACAAATCTAGAACCTCTAATTTTACCTTCTATTCTCACAAACTTAAAAGCCACTAAATATTCAATACATATGCATCTTTTTTGTTTGTTTGTTTGTTTGTTTGTTTGTTTTTGAGACAGAGCCTCAAGCTGTCCCCCTGGGTAGAATGCCGTGGCATAGCTCACAGCTCACAGCAACCTCCAACTTCTGGGCTCAAGCGAGTCTCCTGCCTCAGCCTCCCAAGTAGCTGGGACCACAGGCGCCTGCCATAGCACCTGGCTATTTTTTGGTTGCAGCCATCATTGTTGTTTTGGCGGCCTGGGCTGGATACGAACCCGCCACCTTAGGTGTATGTGGCTGGCACCTTAGCCACTTGAGCCACAGGCACTGAGCCACGTATGCATCTTAATTTTGAATACAGTTCTACAATTCACAAAAGATTTCTCACATATTTCTAGTCCTTGTAAATAGAATTAGGAATGAGAGATGCTCCTTAAGAAAACCGGCAGAAAAGGCTGGGAAAGTAAAGTCTGAGCAGAAAGCACCCAAAACAAAGGCAACTAAACATGGCTACGGAACTATCTGCCACACTCTGGAAGCGCAAGGGGAAACTTCTAGAAGCTTAAAGGACACAAACACCCTATAAGTGCAAAAAGAGTCTAGGTAAATTTATAAGTGATAAATCTGAAACAGATATAAAAAAAATTGGCTGTAATTTAAAAAATAGACTATTCAACATGACACAAGGTAAAAAGCCTAATTCAATATTTTTTTAAAACTCAAAAATCAGCTGTGAGTGGTGGCTCACACCTGTAGTCCTAACACTCTGGGAGGCCGAGGAGGGAGGCTCCCTGGAGCTCAAGAGTTTAGGAACAGCCTGAGCAATACCGAGACCCTGTTTCTACTAAATATAGAAAAACTAGGTGGGACTTGTGGCAGGTGCCTGTAGTCCCAGCTACTCAGGAGGCTGAGGCCAAAGGGTCACTTGAGCCCAAGAGTTTGAGGTTGCTGTGAGCTGTGACACCATAGCAGTCTACCCAGCATGACAGAGCAAGACCCTGTCTCAAAAATAAATAAATAAATAAATCTCTCAAAAATAAAAGCACTGTGACTTCACAGGAAAAAAAAGAGCAAA